CCCCCCCCCCCCCCCCCCCCCCCCCCCCCCCCCCCCCCCCCCCCGCCATTCCGGGGGGCGGGGGTTAAAGAAGAAGCCTGTGAGCTCACCGCAGGCCTGGGGCTGGAGGCCCGGGGCAGAGTCATCGAGCCCTGACGGCTGGCATTGGTTTTGGGGGGAAGAGGTCATGTGGTGGGGGGATGAGAAAGGGGTCAGGGAGTGTGTACCTGGAGAGGGGTGTGAACATGTGTGCGGGTCCCTGGGGGGCAAAAGTTGTGGGTGTGTGGAGGAGTGTGCCCTTTGAGGGCCGGGGATGTTGGAGGTTGGAGCATGGGGTGTATGGAAGGTCAAACACAGGCCATCCATGTGCGTGTGTGTGTGTTGTGGCACGTGTGTGCACGTGCATGTGCATGCGTGTGCACCCTGGGTGTGCACCGCCAGTACTGTTTAGATAAAGGCACACAGTGCATCGTGACTCTTAGGTCCATGTGTGTGCGAACTCACACACGTGTAGCATGTGTGCCCCGAGAAAGCGCATGAGCCTGGCTGTGCGTGAAGCTCAGGGCAGGGAGAGGGAACTTGGGAGAGGAGGAGAGGGGCCCGCCCGTTGGCCATCGTGTGACCGCAGCCTTGAGAGATGCCGTGGCGGTGCCAGCCTCCCTGACTCTTCTCTTCCCCTTCTCCCTCTTTGTCTCTCTTTGTCTCGGCTTTCCTCTTTCTCTTCCTGCCTCTCCCTGCAGTCTTTGAGCTGGAACCCACTCCTGCTTCAGAGCACGAGGATGGGTCCCCCCAATGCCTCAGTCCCCAGCCTGGCTCGGCTCCCCTGCCCCCAGCGGACAGAGTGGCCGGAGTGTCCATGGGGGGTCAGGGGTGGGCCCTCAGACATCATTCTCTGGCATCTCCATGCTTCTTTCCCTCTCGAAACTCTGGTTCTCAGACCCTGCCCAGTCTCCCACACTCAGCTAGCTGCTGCAAACTTGCTGTGAATCTGGGGCCCTCTGAGAGGCATTCATGGGTGGAAGGCATGGGAGGGGGTCAGGTCACACAGCAAATGGGTGCCAGTGGTCCCTGAGTAGACCGGAGGACACTTTTAATGAATGGAGCTCAAGTCAGGAGTAGATTGTGGGGTTTTTGAGTACTTTGGGGTTCTGTGGAAAGCTCAAGGTCAGTGACAGGCTTCGGTGGTGGGAGGGAGGGGTGTGTGAGGAAGTGATCTGGAAGTCTGAGTGGAATCAGAGAAATTGAGGGCAGGGCACATGGTTGGGTGGAGTTAGTCGATTTGAGGTTAGCAGCTTGTCTGGGAGGGTCAGTGGTTTTTTTCCTGGTTGCAAGGAGTGATTGGGTTGGGAGGGTCCTGCATGGAGCCGGAGGGAAGGCTGGCACATTTGGAAATCTGTGGTTGACGTGGCGGAGATCCGAGAGGCGCTGGGCGGACTGCTGGAGGCGGGGTGCGCTCGCCCCCGCGGCCGGGAATCTCGGGGTGGCGATGGGGGAGCGGACTGGCCCCGGCGCACACCTTCTTGCCCTGTGAGTTTCCTTCTCTCTGCACTTCCCACCCCCACCCCCCATCCCAGGCTGCAAGATTAAGGCTCTGAGGGCCAAGACCAATACGTACATCAAGACGCCGGTGCGCGGCGAGGAGCCCGTGTTCATGGTGACCGGACGGCGGGAGGACGTGGCCACAGCCCGACGGGAGATCATCTCAGCGGCCGAGCACTTCTCCATGATCCGCGCCTCGCGCAACAAGTCCGGCGCCGCCTTTGGCGTGGCTCCCGCCCTGCCGGGCCAGGTGACCATTCGCGTGCGGGTGCCCTACCGCGTGGTGGGGCTGGTGGTGGGCCCCAAGGGGGCCACCATCAAGCGCATCCAGCAGCAGACCAACACGTACATCATCACGCCGAGCCGCGACCGCGACCCGGTGTTCGAGATCACGGGGGCGCCGGGGAACGTGGAGCGCGCGCGCGAGGAGATCGAGACGCACATCGCCGTGCGCACCGGCAAGATCCTCGAGTACAACAACGAGAACGACTTCCTGGCGGGGAGCCCCGACGCCGGGCTGGACAGCCGCTACTCCGAGGCCTGGCGTGTGCACCCGCCCGGCTGCAAGCCGCTCTCCACCTTCCGCCAGAACAGCCTGGGCTGCATCGGCGACTGCGCCGTGGACTCGGGCTTCGAGGCGCCGCGCCTGGGCGAGCAGGGCGGGGACTTCGGCTACGGCGGCTACCTGTTCCCGGGCTACGGCGTGGGCAAGCAGGACGTGTACTACGGCGTGGCCGAGACCAGCCCCCCGCTCTGGGCGGGCCAGGAGAACGCCACGCCCACCTCGGTGCTCTTCTCCTCCGCCTCCTCGTCGTCGTCCTCGTCCGCCAAGGCCCGCGCCGCGCCCCCGGGGGCGCACCGCTCCCCCGCCGCCTCCGCGGGGCCGGAGCTGGCCGGCCTGCCCAGACGCCCGCCGGGGGAGCCGCTGCAGGGCTTCTCCAAACTGGGCGGCGGCCTGCGGAGCCCGGGCGGCGGGCGGGACTGCATGGTGTGCTTCGAGAGCGAGGTGACCGCCGCCCTGGTCCCCTGCGGACACAACCTCTTCTGCATGGAGTGCGCAGTACGCATCTGCGAGAGGACGGACCCGGAGTGTCCCGTCTGCCACATCACAGCCACGCAAGCCATCCGAATATTCTCCTAAGCCCCCTGCCCCGGGCCTCCGGGCTCCCTCCCTGGGCCGAGGGCGCCCCCACCTCCACCCCCCCCCCGCCCCGCCCTGGATCTGTTTTCCACCTGGGCCTTTTGGAAATCAGTGGGCTCAGTGGGCAAGGTGCTTAGACGAACTCGATCCGTGGGGAGGGGGCGGGGAGGCGATGGTGGCTGGGGTGCGGTGGGGTGGGCCACCTTCAGAGCCTCTGGCCACCCCGTCCTGGAAAGGTTGGGAGGGGGCCAGGCAGGAAATTTTACTAGAGTTACAACTCTGATACCTCAACACTCCCTTCTATCTGGAAGCAGCTACGAGAAAGTTTTGTTTGGCTAGAGGGGGCCGCTAAGGCATTCTGACCCCCTCTGCCCAGCCCCCCATCTGCGCCACACCACCCCTTCCTCTCTGGAGGGGATTGGGGAAAGGGAGGGGGAGAATTACCATCTGTATCTGGAGGTGCTCTTTCCAGCCCTCCAGCCCTCTCTGGCCCTGACCTTTGACCTCCTTATGTGACCCTTTAGACCCCCCACCACCACCCCCCAACCGCCATATCCCTGTTTGGGCATCTGCTCCTGGGTTTCCAGTGGTCTGAGGGAGTTGGGGCCCTTTCAGAAGTCTGCACAGATTCCCTGGGGTTAGAGGGGAGGCATGTCCATCCATAAAGGGCTCAGAGTTCATCTCCCCACAGAGCTGGATGGAGGGGTGTGGAGAGCAAGCTCCTCTCACCCTCTCCTCCCCATCTCTCCTCCCCTTGGGCTGTCCTCTCCTCTCCTCTCCTCTCCTCCTCCCGCCAGCTCTTCTCTTTGCTTTCCCTTGAGGGCTGTCGTCCCCAGCTCTGTCCTCCTCTGTCTCTTTCTTCCCTTCTCCCCCCTCCTTCCTGCCCCTTCTAGTCCAGCTTTGGGCTCACCATCCCCTGGGGGGGAAGTAGGGGAGAAGAGCATTTGGATGAACCCCCCTTTAATTCTTCTTCTGGCACCTGGAGGCCCTCCCCACTCCTCCAAAGAAACACCTCGAATTCTTGATAGAATGTATCCCCATTCTCAGCGAAAATTTGAGGAGGGGACTAATATTGGGGTACATCAGGGGTCAAACCTCTGCCTCTACCATCTTTGGGCATTGTATTTAGGGAGCAATTCTTGGGCTGATCTTCTGGAGGCAGGCAGAGGAGAGACAGGGTCGCATGTCTGCTGTTGAAGGGACAGGAAGGAGCCTGAGGCAGGTGGAGAGGCTGGTGCACAGAGGGGCTGCTCCTCCCCCTGCCGCTCCCAGGGCCTGCGCCCCCTCTCTGGACCTGACCCAAACCCCTATTAGTGAGCAAATCATGAAGTCTCTGTCCCACCCATCGTGGTTGTGGGGAGAGGCTGGGGCTTCAGAGAGAGTTCAGTCCTGGACCAGGCGGGATTGGGGTGGACATTCTGGTCCGGTGTTGCTAACAAGCCTAGCCCCCCACACACACACTGCTTCCCTAAGGCTCACTTGGGGCTGCCACCAGCCTCCCACCCTCCTGGTTCCGCTGGCCGGGCCAGGAGAGGGTGGGGGATGGGAGTCCCTGGGGGGGTCTCAGGCGATTCTTGTATATAGTGGGGTGGGACTGTCCTAGGTGATCTCTGAGCACTTAGGCTCGGGGAGTCCCATTCTGTCTGATGGAGAGGGGGTGCAGGGATGGAGGTACGGGGGCGGATTTCCTCCTCTCCTTCCTCCTGTTGTGAATTCACTCACCTCTCCTCAGCCTGCCCCTCCAGACCACCAGCCAGGGAGGGGAGAGGAAGGAGGTCACAGCCAGGAAAGTGGCCTGTGACAGCTTCCCTCCTTCCCGCCAATGTGAGCCATCCCGAGATGTGTGTACAATAGAAACCAAACCAAATGGGTGCTCTCGGCCTGTCGGTTGCCGAGGGGGGTGGGGAGGGGGGTGGGAAGAAGGGATGTCTGTCTGTCGGTCCCCTCCCCCTCTCCACTTCTTACCCACAAAGGCAGAAGACTGTTAGGCTAGGGGCTCAGAAAATTCAGTCCCGCCCTGACTAATTGAGCCAAACCTAGAAACCAACGCAAAACACACATAGTGAGAGACAAAACAGAGGAGAGAAAGAGTGCGAGAGGGAGCGAGATAGGCAAACAACACAGAGGAGACAAAACAAAAATAGCAAAAAAAAAAAAAAAGCAGTTCTTTATAATTTAATATTCTATTTTAATAAAGGCGTTTATTACCGTATAAATGTAGCAAAGAACCTGGGCTAATATGAAAAAAAGACTTTTTATTAGGTAATTTATTATATGAAAAGGATATTTTATTTTATGATAAAGTGATCCTTAAAAAAAATAAAAAAACTTTAGAAGGTTTAGAATATATGTAGGGAGAGAAGAAGAAAAAAAAATACATTTGTATTCAGAGTTAAATCTTAAAAAAAAAGTGTTTTTAATATATGTTCGGGTTTACGTTCCTTTTTTCCCCCACTTTTATTTGGGGAGGAATGTCATTTGCTTTTTGTGGGGAGCGTCCTGGGATGTGTGGTGGAGATGGGGGGACTGGGGGAACCTGGTCCCTCTGGGGCCCCGAGTAGATTGGATTTCACTCCATGGGCCCCCCTCCCCGCTCCCCTCCCCCTCGGGGGAGCCGGCAGAGCCAAACAAAGAAAGGGATTAACAAGAAAGGAAGAGCGCTTGGACTGAGGATCCTGGGCTGCCCCCCACCTCCCCTGCCCTGTCCCAGGGGCGAGTGGGGAGGGGAAGTCCAGAGCTGAGGCCTAGTAGGCCTGCGGGAACCCTCAGAGAGGTGCGAGATTTAAGAGAACTAGTTTTGTTTTGTTTTGTTTTGTTTAACCAAAAATGAGAGAGAGAGAGAGAGAAGAAAAAGAAAGAAACCGAGGGGTTTAAAAGAAAAGAATACTACAAAATAATAATTATTAATAATAATAATTCAAATTTATTTCATATAATCCTAGAGAAAAAGAAAGAATTACTAGTTACTTAGTAGACGATATTCAGATAGCTTAAAGTTTAGTAGCATCGAGGGCCCCTGGGTCCAGTAGAATGTATAAAAGTTGTAACGAAAGGAAAGTAGATGAGGGACGCGGTCAAGTTCACCCTGCATGTGGGGAACCCCATCTCCAGATACCGGGCAGGAGCAGGCCGCTAGCTGAGCTCGAAGCTTCTGGTCTGCTGGGGTTGATTCTGAGAATCCTTGGATTTTTAAATTGTAGGACAAACAGATGAGGGGCTCCGTCCCCTGGGTCTTTGAAAGATGGACACTGATCCATTTCAACTACATGGGAGCTGGGCCGGCCGGGGGCGGAGGGGAAGGTGAGCGCCTTCACCTGTGCCCTTGCCCCTGGGGGCCCACCACCCTGTCTGTCCCCAGGTCTCTGCAGAGCAGTCCTTACTCCTAAGTGCTGTGTCTTCTTGGGGCTCTCGGGGAGGGTGGAGGCTTCCCAGCTCAGACCCTCCCGGACCTGCTTCTCCCAGGCCCGAGGAAGTCCTTCTTGAAGTGTAGCCTCGATTCACACCGCGGGGAATTGATTCAAGAGCCTGGTGGGTCATTCTAGAAATAGACACGCACACACCCCACCTTCCTGAGGCTTCATGAGGGCTGGGGGTCAGGCCCCTGTCCTCGATCCCACCCGGTATCCCACTTAGTTTTTGGCCTCCGTGGGATTAACAATCTCAGTCATGGCTCTTTCTCCGGGTCTGCTTTGGCTCCTAGAAGTTAGACTCCAAGAAGGACTTCCCACCCACTGGGGTACAGTGGAGATACTGTCCTTGAAGGCCTGGGAGAATGGGGGCCCCCAGGGGTATGAAGGCAGGGGGTGGGCAGCAGGGACTGGGTGGGGGGGCGCTGCCCCTAGCCCTGTGCTCCAGGCCACCTGCAGCTCAAAGTGTTCCAGATGGGGGCTGCCCCTGGTGCCCTGGCCTGGGGGGCACCTCGCCCTCCCCACAGGAAACCTGGGATCGTGGCTTTGCATGTGAGAAATCACCTCCTGTTTTCTAGCACTTGCCTTCCACCAGCCGGCCCTCCCTCCTGTCCCAGGGAGCACAGGGGACCTGCTCCAACGTCACACCTGAGGCTCTAACCCCTCCCCGGCCCTCAGCCCCCAACACATCTCCCTCTCCCCGGTTTACTCTTCTCACCCCACCTAGGGAGAGTCCCCCCTGCTCTTTTTGTCCTAGAAACCCCGCTAGTTTGGGAAGGTAGAGTCTGGGGTGGGGAGGGCTTCCCCTTCCCGCTGGAGGGTGCGGGTGGGGTAGGGTGGGAGGGGAGACAGCCCTGGGGCAGGGGGGTGGTCTCCACTGTAGAAAGTAGAGTAGGATTGTGGTCAGACTTAATTTGAGGCATCTAGTGAGGACACGTAAAAATCCACCAAGGAAAAATATTTCAGAAGCAAAATAAAGGCAGGAAACAAAACGAACCCATGGATAATCAAGTCAAAGTGATGTTGCACAAAACGCAGAGAAACCAAGAAGGGGGAGGGCTACTGTATTAAATGTGCTATTAAGAACTTAATTTTATTAAAAGTATTATTAATTAAGGCTCTGGCCTCTTTCTCCGCGTGTGGGTCTGACCTGTGGTGGGGCAGAGTGAGGGGGCCACCTCGGGAATTGCCGGGATGGGGGCAAGTGACTCTGGGGGCCCTGCCCCCTTGTGGGAAACACCATAGGGCGCTGCTTGAGTCTCCAGGTCCTTCCCTTTCCTTCCCATTTACCACCTAGTCCTCCCAGGAGTGGGGGTGTGGGTGGAGGGTGCAGCTTGTCCTACAGAGCAGGGGACGGCCAGGCCCAGGACCAAGTGCTGGGAGACCCTCCCCAGTCATCCCACTGGAGTGGGGCCTTCGCCATACCCCACACTCCCCCCTCTCTGGGGTCAGGACTGCATACTGGGCAGGAGGCTCGGACCTCCCACATCCAGGCGCACACAGACAGGGCTGGCTGTGACCCCCCCCCTTTTCTCCCAACACCTCCCCCTGCCTCCTCCCCTCACCCCTGGCATTGGAGTGACCTCAGTTCTTGGCACCAGGGCCCTGGGCACCAGATGGTGCCTGACGGTGATTTCCTTTGTCTCTCCTTCCAGATACCCCTTCTTGGCCATGCTGTCCCCCCTCCCCCACCTACCCTGGGGGTTGGCAGAGGGAAGGGTGGGCACCTCCCTCCCCCTTGGCACTGTCCCCAGACCACAGGACTCCAGAGGCAGTTGGTCCTGGAGGGCAGTGGGTGTGGTGAGGAGGCTGGGGGGTGGGGGAGGGGAACACGAGCTCAGAGGGGCCAGAGGTGAAGGGGAGGCAGGGATGGGAGGCAGCAGACTGGCCAGATGTTGGTACAAAACACAGCTTTATTTGAAGGCTTGATCTGTGTGGTGGTGGCGGGGCAGATTTGGGGAGGGACAGGTAATAGAGATACTGGGGTGGGGGGAATGGGAAGCTCGGGGAGCTCCGTGGGGCCACTCTGACATCTGGAACCACAGGGCAGAGAGAGATCCTGGACCCGGGGTGGGAGCGGGGCACCAAAAAGCCATCGGGGGCCGGGCAGGGGCTGGCCGGGGTCAGAGGCTGATGCAACAGGCCCTCTTCTCACCTGGGCCCGGCTCCTGCCCTGCCTGGGCACCGCCTAGAGTGATGGCGTTGGTCTGGCTGCTGCTTTGCCTCTGCTTGGACACTTTGGTGAAGATCTCTGAGGGGGTGCGGAGGGCAGTGATGGGGTCAGAAGACCGAGAGCCCGCACTCCTGCTACACACAAGGCGCAGGCTCGCAGAGCACCGGGTGTGACCACAGTTCAAGGAGGCTTTGCTGGAAGGAAGTGGAGTTTGGGCACCTGCGTCCCTTCTACTGACTTGGGTGGAGAAGGGCTAATGCTTAGCTCTGTGGGAAATGTGGCCTTCTGGTTCCTTCCCCAAACCTCGGGCTTGGGGGTGGGGTGGGGTGGGCGCTGGGGAGGCTCTGAGGAGGCTGGGGGCCCACGGAGGGGCGGAGGGATCATTGGGGTAGGCCAGGGCTGGCGGGCTACACTCCAGCCACTGCCCATGGAAGCCTCAGGACCGGAATGGGGCCGCCAAGTGGAGGCAGGGCTCTAACCTTTGAGGACCGTCTGGAAGGCCAACTCCACATTGGTGGAATCCAGGGCTGAGGTCTCCAGGAAGAGCAGCCCATTGTTTTCTGGCAGGAAAGGCAACACAGTAATAACAACATTGACCCTGTGTTTACTGGGTACATTTGCAAGGTGCTAACCCCTTGGCATGTGCAGCTCATTCCACGCTTGAAACCACCTGCCAGGGAGATTTGAATAGGATCCCTTTTTCGTGCAAGAGGAAGGTGAAGGCCAGCGGCACAGAGAGCTAAACAAAGGCCCGGCCAGGCGAGGGCGCGGGACACCAAGCCTGTACCCTTGACCACCCTCTGACCCCAGAGGCCTCCTGGGGAGATCGTGAATGGAGAAGTTCATGGGGAGCGCACTTCCCACACCCCGGGGTCTCGTGGAGTGGCCCACTTTAAAGTCAATGACAGGGGCGCCTGGGTGGCTCCGTGGGTTAAGCCTCGGCCTTCGGCTCAGGTCATGATCTCAGGGTCCTGGGATCGAGTCCTGTGTCAGGCTCTCTGCTCAGCAGGGAGCCCGCTTCCTCCTCTCTCTCTGCCTGCCTCTCTGCCTACTCGTGATCTCTGTCTGTCAAGTAAATAAATAAAATATTTTTAAAAAATAAAATAAAATGAAGTCAATGACAAATAATTGCCCATAAAGACAATCCTGGGGCAAGTGGTGGGACACCATAAGGGACACAGGGTGACAGCGAGGAAGACGTGACGCACGCGGGGGCTCCGTGGAGGAAAGCCAGGCTGGGGCCCCGGGGCAGGAGCAGGGGCTGGGGAGGTGGGCGCTGGAGGGGCCGGGCTGGTGGTGGCGGGCTCTCACCGGCAAACACTCGGGCCTCTTCTGTTGGCACCTCCCGGGCCTGCTGGAGGTCACTCTTGTTGCCCACGAGCATGACCGCGATCGTGGCCTCCGCGTGGTCGTAGAGCTCCTTCAGCCAGCGCTCCGCCGCAGCGTAGGTCTGGTGCTTGGTGATGTCAAATACCAGCAGGGCCCCTGCCGCGCCACGATAGTACCTGGGGGGGGTCGAGAGAGGGGCAGAGGCAAGGTCGGAGGTGAGTCCTGGAGATGGAGAAGTATGAAAGCTGAGGTCAGGGGACCCACGTCTCCAGGCTCTGGGCCTGACACTGAGCCCTTCTGGGTTGCTGGTATGGCGGGGCAGGGGGGACCCCAAAGCGGCCCCTCCTTCTCTGAAACCACCGTCTCCATCCTGTCTTTCTAGCCACAGTTTCCTTGGGTCTTTTGTTCCGATGTTAGCCCTCGCTGTCCACCCACGAGCGCCGGGGCCGCGATCAAGTCGGCCTCCCGGATCCCACCTTCAGTGGCACGTTCCTCACGTTCCTCCTGCGGGGAGGGGGCCCTTCCGGTGTGTCGAGAAATGGCCAAGGGTGAAGCCGACGTGAGCCCGCTTCTCCATCCAGCCCACAGCCTCCCCCTTCCCGGGTGCCTCTGACACCCCTGCTTGAGCCTGGGGTTCTTGTATTAAGCAGGGATTAATGACAGCATCTTAGTCCTCCGGAACTTGGAGGATTACACCACATGCCCGACGGAGAGTGCCTGGTACCCGCACCTGGGGCTCACGGGAGGGGGTAGGGGCACGAGCACAGGGCCCCGTGGCCTCTCCTCCGGAGGCACTCCCGGACTTCCCCAGCGCCCCCCAGCCCCGGGGGCTCACGCGGAGGTGATGGCTCGGTACCGCTCCAGGCCAGCCGTGTCCCAGATCTGCGCCTTGATGGCGGCCGTGCCCAGCATGACCGTGCGGGTGGAGAACTCGACCCCGATGGTGGTGCGGCTGTCCTGGCGGAACTGGTTCCGTGTGAACCGGGACAGCAGGTTGGTCTTCCCCACGCCCGACTCGCCGATCAGCACCACTGTGGGCCGGGAGAGACAGGGCTGAGCTGGCGGCCACCGTGCCTCGGGAGCGGGAGCCGACCCCAGGAAACCGAGGGAGGAGCCCAGCCTCCTGGCGGAGGGTTCCAGACTCCCGGGTGAGGTGCCGGGAGTGGGGGCTGCAGGCCTGGCAGGGCTCTTGGTCTGCTCAGCCTGCACTTCCGCTGAGGGGCGCCAGCCACCGGCTGTTCGTGGGTGTCGGTGCTCAGGGCTATGAGGTTGGCAGGGCGTGTGGATGCGGACGGGGCGTAGGCCTGGGAGGGCTCCCGTCTCTGGACTAGGCAGTGGGACGGCTTTGCGCCTGCCTGCGTAAGAGCCGCAAGGACGGGGAGGCTCGGCGCGCAGGTGTGCGTGTGTGTGCGGGTGCACGTGTGTGTGCACCCGCCGCCATGTGAACACGAGTGCAGGAAGAAGAACATTTGGCAGCGACACATCTGGGGAAGGAGGAAAGTTCAGGGGGTAAGAAGTTAGGATCCGAGGGGCGCCTGGGGGTCCCAGTCTGTTAAGCCTCTGCCTTCAGTTCAGGTCATGATCCCAGGGCCCTGGGATCGAGCCCCACATCGGGCTCCCTGCCCAGCGGGAAGCCTGCTTCTCCCTCTCCCACTCCCCCTGCTTGTGTTCCCTCTCTCGCTGTCTCTCTCTGTCAAATAAACAAATAAAATTAAAAAAAAAACAACAACAAGAAAACAAGATGTTAGAATCCAGCTGTCCCCAAGGAGGGACAAAGTTAAGAACACGGGGCTGGCCTACCCTGACATGTGTTTTCACAGGAAACATGGGAATAAAAATACTATCTCTTTTCTAGATTGTTGTGAGAAGTGAGATACTGCTCAGGCTGATTGCTGGGGGCCGGCCGGCCGCGCTGTCACCGTCATGTTTCCAGGGGCTAGGATCTGCCTGGGGCCGTGAAGAGCCTCTGGGCTGGTGCGCGACCTCCAGGGCCCAGCTCGACCCTTGCAGCAGAGCTGGGGGCTGGCGGGAGGGTGCGGGGCTGATACAAGGACAGCCCACAAATTACATCACCCGGAGCGAACACCCCGGGATTCTGGGAGGATCCCCAGGATTACAGGAGGACCCCCAGGCTGGTGCCTGGGGAGCCACATTTTCTGGGCACTGATCCCCACTTGGCCTCTCACTTGCTGGAGACCTCGAACAAGCGGCTCAGCTCTTCTAGGTCTCGGTCTCCTCGTTACAAAATCTAAAAAGTCCCCTGGAAGGTGTGCAGGGCGGGAGGAGGGCTGGGAGCAGTGTGGGGGTGGGGGTGTGTGTGTTCCTGATCCCCCCTATCCCCCCGTCCCCCAGCTGGGACCCTCCTCCCGGCTCACCAGGCTCACCCCTGCCAGTGGGCGGGCTCCTCGCGCTGCCCTCATGCCCAGAAGGTGCTCTGGGCAAGGCCTTAGAGCCCCACACACTCGGGTTCGAGGGTCGACTCTGTGACTGTTTCAGCTACCCCCTGCCTCATCCTCATCCAGATCGGAGACACCAGGTGGTGGCAGCGGCTGAGGGCCTACTATGTGCCAGCACAGTCCTGCAAGCCTGACACTATTGATTCCTCTAGTCCCCAGCATGGCGCCATGACGCCAGTACCACGATCACGATCACCCCCTTTCACAGATGCGGAAAAGCTGGCACCAGAGGGAGAGGGGCTGGCACCAGACAGCATGGCCGGCCTCACAAACACAGAGCTGTGCTGCCTCAGTCTGCCTCCGAGGAAGGCCAGGCCCCCAGCCACCAGCCCCCTCCACGACACCCTCTACCCCGACTTCTCAGTGTCTGCTTCCGGAGACCCCCACCTGCACGAGCTAGTCAGGGACGGAGCAGAGATCTGAAGACTCAGTCTGGCCCCTGGCTGCCGTGCTTGCAAAAGCAGAGATGTGTTTTAGGGATGTCGTGGAGGCTCCCAAACCCCAGGCTGGCACAGAGAAGGGCTTGCGGAAGGGCAGCAGACTGGCAGCCGCCACCTGGCCTCCCCTTCCTGGAACAGGGGCCCAGAGTACAGCTACCCCAACCGGAGTGGCCGGAGTCCCAGCTTCCAGGAGGGTGGGGCTAGGCTAGGAGAGGCAGTGGGGTGGGGTGGCTGCCTCTGTGGTCCACCCCGCCCTGAAGGAGACGGGGAGGTGGGCGTGCCCGGGGCTGGGGTCTGAGGGGTCCTGCACAGGGGCGGAGGTCAAGGAGCAGGAAAGATGCCTGTGTGCCTCCAGGATCAGCCAAGTGGAACCTATGCCTGGCATTTGGGCCCAAAGGGGCTGCCAAGGGACAGCAGACAAGGCCGCAGCCCTCAGAGTCTTCCGGGCTCTGTCAGACCCTGCTCTCAACCTACTACATCTTCCCTGCCTTCACCCCGAAGTGGACAAAGCTCTCCTTTCTCTTCTTGCCTGTATGTCCACCCGGAAACAGGACTTCCTTCCCCTCCAGGTTATTCCCTCTCCTCTCCGGAGGGAAGTTCCCTCGGAAGTCTGACCATCTCTTGCGCTACCACGCTTGACGGCTCGCACCCCGGCAGTTCCAGAACTTCTGTCCCAGTAACCAGACCCTCCCCGACTCCCTGCAGCTTGCTCTCCTCTCTGAAGGAAGGACGGCCCGCGAGGGTCCTAGGAACAGGTAAAAAGACAGGAGACGCGCTCTGGCTCTGACGTCTCGCTCCCTATGGACCCCAACTCACCCTTGAAGACAAAGTTATAATCTTCCTCAGCTCTGTTCCCCATCCTGGCTCTGCATGGAGGGGACGAGTGGCTTCAGGGGCAGAGGTGACAGGAATACGTGTCGGCTCAATGCCCTCCACCCTCGGTTCTCCGGAGACCCGGATCCGCAGCTCCGCTCATGGGGGGTGAAGAAACTTCCGTAGGCAGAGGGCTTGAGGGCCTGCTAGAGGCTGGGGAGGGCCTGGGAGGCTCAGCTCCGGCAGGTGGGGGTGCTGCAGGGAAGACAAGGGGAGGAAGCGGAGAACAGGAAGAGCGGGCGCCAGACCTGCGGCCCAGGTGGGCGGAGAGAGGATGACGTCAGACAGGTTAGGCAGGTTCAGTGTCTGCTCCCTACGTGCCAGTGGGCGGGCCGGGGGCTGGGGACACAGAGCTGGGGGGAGCTGAGACAGGCACAGGACCTTCAGAGAGCAGCTGAGGGCTGAGTACGTGGTGCTAGGGCTCCTGGGGCCGGGGACCAACCTGGGCAGCTACCAGTGAGTGAGAGCCTCTCAGGCAGAAGCCTGCTTCTCCTGCTTTTCCTTCAGCGCCTCTGGTTGGGGGTGATTGGGGGCACCAGGGGAAGGGCTGTTGGGGCGAGGGGCTGGGGCTGATGGGTGCCATCCACCCTGCCGCAGTTCAGAACTCTGGGAGCAGCACTGTGGAAACGGCAACTTCTGCCCCTCCTGACAGCCCAGGGCCTGGGATGGGCCACGTTCCTCACCCAGGGTGGGGTTGAGACTTGCAACCTACCTCCCCCCTGGGATGGTCTAGGGCTGGTAGCACCCTGTCCAGACCCGGTGTAAGGACTCAAGCTAGGGGAAGACCTGCAGCAGAAACAAGACAGGCGAGCTGAGGAGGCTGAGCGCAGGGCGGGATCTGGAGACGGAAGGCCCCTGAGAGGCCTTGGACACTCCCTCCCCAGGACCTGCGGTCCAACCTGCCTGCAAAGGGCTTCAAGATCTGGAGGGTCTGTGAGCGTGGGGCCCTGGTAGGTGGCTAGTGCACACTCTTCCAACCCCAAGAGCAGAAAAGCTACCCCCCCCCAACTTGGGACTGAACGATGCTGGCCTTACAGGGCCCTATATTCTTGCTGTCCAACATGACCACCACCAGCTCCCCAGCAGCCCGCTGCTCCTCCGAGATCACTCCCAAAGGTATGCCCGTCAGGGAGCCAAACTTCCAGAAGCTCAGAGCACAGGGCTGAACCAGTCGCTGCGGTGCCCCCGCTGTCAGAGGACAAGGTGCGAGGCAGGTTCTCCGGAGCAATGCTCGCTGGATCCCACCTCCCTGGGCTCCCCAGGGTCAAGAAAGCAGTCAGCACGCAAGATAGGAATTCAAGTTTATTCTTGGAAAAAGCAAAGTCTTGCTCTCCCCCCACCACCCAGAAAGGGCTCCTAGTGGGCCCTGCCCCTCCACACGGTCATTGCTCTTTTCCGAGCCCAGCTTCAGCCGAGGCTCACTAGGAGGCGGCCACTTGAGTTAGGGGTTCCTCCAGGTACCGCACCAAGGCCTGGGCCTGCAAGAAGGGAGGAGAAGTCAGGCCGGCCCGGGGTCTGCTGCTGGAGGGAGTCCCGCTGCAGAGCACCCCTCCCCGCCCCACTCCTGGGAGCTGGCCCACAGCGGACTCCAGGAAGGTGGTGGGGTGGGAGTGGGCCGTGAAGAGCACAAAGGCTGGGCCTACAGGCCCAGAGGGATGGGCATATACACACCTTGGCCTTGAGCATTCCAAAGCCCACTGTCTCCTTGGCATACATACACAGCAGAAGGTTGGCCACCCGGGTGATGGCGACACGGCCCTCCTGGTTGGGGTGACATGGGGGGATGTCAGGTTCCGCTTGGCACCCTTAGCCCTCGCTTTTCCCCAAGGGCCCCTCTTCAGAGCCTATCATCTTCCTTCCATGCCCTGGGCATGGCAAGGGCTTCAGACGAGGGGCTCTGGCCGCAGCCCTGGATGTGGGGTCCTGAGCTCAGACTCCAGGATCAGCACAGCCCCTTGCTAACTGACCTCCCCTAGGAACCTAGACCTCGCAGAAACTTGGTTTCTCTTCCCATGACTCCAGTGTCCTCCCAGCTGGTGAGGGTGCTAGTACACAGGATGGAGTTTTGAAACTGGCCAGGGCTGTCCAGATGGGTGATGTCATTATCATGGGTCCATCCCAAAGACCCCGAAAGGAACATGCAAGCAAACCCAATGTAGAGTTCTCTTTTCCTAAGGTAAAGACTTTCGAATTGCAGGTCTGACTCTAGGGTTCGATCAGTTAAGGAGGTGGGTCAGCATGGAAAAGAGTAACGGAGCACACTGCCTGTTTGTCTTAGTTGGGGGGTGTGGCTCTGACTTCACAGGTACTTCTTATGGCTGGGGCGCAGACAGGACGTTGGAAAGCTACGGCCCTACGGCACCAATTCAAGGTTAGGCAGCACGCAGGAGTCGTCAGCAGAACGGAAATGGCATCCTTGGTTGGACATGGGGTGAGGACGAGGCAGGGAGCCCCAGGACAGTGGAAATCCTTTGGGAAGAGTTCACTCTGGGCCTTTTCAGTTTGGTTCAGCACACTTCCACTGGGCATCTGCTGTGCGCTGGGGCCCAGGGGCAGTACTCCCTGCCTCTCTGGCCTCCCTCCTACTCACCTCCCCCATTCCCAGGCCGCTTGAGCTACATCATCCTTGTTGATCCTCGACCAGACATTAGTGCACCTCAGGGCCTTTGCATCTGCTGTTCTGTCAGAACTGTTCTTCCCCTAAAGGGCAGTACGGCTGGCCAACTTCCTTTGGATCTTTAATGAAATATCTTTTCAGTGAGACTGTCTTGAATACGTGCCCTCCTCACTTCCGTTTCATGTAGCACTTTCGACATCTTACATCCTAGTGTTGTGACTCATGTACATATTTTATAATACACATACAACCCTGAGCTGCCGTGAGACGTCAGGGCCGCAGTTTTGGTCCTGTTTGCTCCTCTTTCCCTAGTGCTCGCGAATGCCGCAGGGACCTCAACATCTGTTGGCTGAACAAACAAAGGTGCGTGAGACAGTTCCCGGGAAATTCACAGTCTAATGGCTACTTCCCCTTTCTGGACTGCAGCTCCCTCTTCTGTAAACTGCAGGGAGGGGCCTAGGGTCTGGAGACTCTGCTGTGCTTCCGTGAGCCTGTGGCTCTGGGGTAACGACACTGCCCAGTTTACATCCTTTCGCTTGATCTTCACAAGCTCGTGGGCACGAGCTCCTGTTGGGGGTATTACTGCCGCGTTAGAGGCGCGGTAAGGAAGTTCAGAGAGTTTCCCAGACGCAGCAGAGCTCTGGGACCGACCAGCGGCCAGCAGAGACCAGAGGCCCAGGCAGACACTGGGGCCCCAGCTCCCTGCTCACCACCGCACGCTGCCTGGGGTCCTGCCTACCACAGAGCTGCAGCAGACCAGCTCTTAGTAGCCCTCGGAGATCCTGTCCCTGCCCCTCCAACCATCCAGGCTGGGAGCGAGGTCGCCCCACGGGGATCCCCTCGGGGGACAGAGGGAGTGGCTCCCTTCTCCATACCATGCAGTCCATGAGGATGAATTTGAGATTGTCTTCATTAAACGCTTGGTTCCCGTTGCGGTCGTAGGCGGCCCAGATGTTGCTGGCGATGGCCGCGGTGACCCGGGCGTCCGTGTCCCCGTAGCCGGAGTAGGCCAGCAGGGATCCCTCGTTATTCAGCAGCCTGGCGGGCGGCGGTAAGCGACAGGGACGCGCTCGGGCGGCGAGAACAACGCCTGCGCTCTCGCCCCACCTCCCGCCGGGGCACGTCCAGAAAGCAGGGTCCGGGCAGAACGCGGTGCTCCCCGCGGGCCGCGGCCGCTCTGCCCCCGGCCCTCCCCGAGCCCCGTCCCCAGCTCCCCTCCGCGCCCTCCCGCCGCACTCACAGCGTGCTCTGGACACCGCCGGTGTTGGCCTGGCTTAGCACCTGGGTCAGAGCCTTGGGACGTAGCATGCCTGCGGCTCCCAGGCCCGGGCCTCCGCGCCAGGCCCCGCGCTGCCTCCCGCGGGCCTCCGCGGGAATCTCCCCGAGTTCCCGGCCGCTCCGGGAATCCGCGCGACCCGGAGGTTCCGGCCCGACTCCGGGGAGGCGACGCAACACCGCCCCGCCGCGGGGGGCGCCGGGAGTTGTAGTTCCGTGGGGCCTCGCGGCGCACCCTGGGAACTGTAGTTCGCCTTTCCCCGGGGACCACGCGGTTGTTGGGGGAAAAGAGCGGGAGCGAAAGGACGGTGACAGGACCGGAAGGTCGTTGAACAGCCCAGTCCCGTCCCCGCCCCCCCGGGGAGAGAAGCGTCAGCATGCCCGCTTGACAGTCCACGACCAGAAACTGAAAAAGCAACCCCAGTCTTTGTCAGGCACACGTCCGGTTACTTTCCCGAGCGGTTCCCTACGTCACGCACGGCCCCGTGAGACGGGCCGAGGCTCCGAAAGGCCCCGGGAACCGCGCTTAGACTCGTGCGGGCCACGGCCTCCGGGGACGTGGTCGGTCCTAGAGGTGAGACCTGGGCGGACGTCCAGACGCGGGCCAGCCCAGCCTCCGGGTCGGGAGAGGCCCGGGGCGGCGCGGCGGCGACAGGGACACGGCGCTTTGTCCCGGAGCGGCAGTTGCCGCGGAGGCTGCGGGTCCGGGCGGGCGGCGGGCTCTCTCGGGGAGCCCGCCCCGCCGCGCCCCGCCCCGCCGCGCCCCGCCCCGCCCCGGCTGCAGTGCCCCCACCAAGCCGCCCGGGGCGCTGTGGGCGCGGCGGGTCCGGAGGGCTGCGCGGCCGCGGGGAGGGGAGGGCAGGGCAGGGGAGGGCGGAGGCCGGAGGGCGGAGGCCAGAGGGGCGGAGGCCGGAGCCGAGCCGGCAGGGCTGCGGGGCGGGGAGGAGGAGGAGGAGGAGGAGCCGGGACGGGCTGGCGGGCGGCCGGGTGGCGGCGGCGGCGGCGGCATGGCGGAGCCGAGCGGGGCCGAGCCCAGGCCCCCCATTCGGGTCACGGTCAAGACCCCCAAGGACAAGGAGGAAATTGTGATCTGCGATCGAGCCTCCGTCAAGGAGGTAGTGCGCGCGGCGAGGGCGGCAGCGGAGGGGTCTGCGGGGAGAGCGGCGGCTCCGAGGCGGCGGGCGGGGAGGGCGGGGGCCCCGAGGGCTCTCGGCGGGGCGGCGGGGCAGGAGCGCGGCTGCGGGCGTCCCGCGCGGGAGCTGGGGGAGCGCGGCGCGTGCGGCGGACGCCAGGCCCGGGCTCGCCTTGTGGCCTGGGCTGGGGGCGTGGCGGAGAGCGAGGAGGGGGCGCCTCGCACAACGGAGGGCAAGGACGCGCGGGCTGAGGGCAGCGTGCGCCCCGAGGACCGGTCGGGGGGCCGCGGCCGGCCGGCCCCGGGCTCCGCGCTGCGCCGGGGGAGCGGGCGGGGGGCGGCCCCGGCTGCCAGGGCGCGGGGCGCTGGGGGAGCGCTTCCCTCGGTGCTCGTCCGTCCCACCGCCTCACGCTGAGGGGGTTCCAGCGGGCCCTCGGCCCCTCCGGGGCTTGCGGTGTGCAGTAGGTGCTCAGTGAAAGCGCGTTGGTTGAGTGAATGAGGGGACACGGCCCGTGTCCGCCGCCCCCTGCCCCGTGGCTGCTCCAGGATTTCTCACAGGCGGGGCGTGAGGTAGGCCGTCCGGTTGGAGGGAGGGGAGCTGGCAGCCGCCTCGCGGAGCAAGTGCACTCTGGACGGAGAGGGTCCCGTTTGGGCTGGTTTGGTTGTTTCTGGGGGGGAGCTGATAGATCCGGGCGGTCCGACCCTCCCAAGCCAGTCTCCGGGGCCATCACTGCCCCTCCCCTGCCGTAGAATGCCCAGTGCCCGCCTGCCGCAGAGCTCCGTTGGGAATCAGCTTAGCTCAGAGCCCTGTGTTGGGTCAAGAGCCAGGGCTTTGGTGTCAGCGCCCAAGTTCCAGGCCGTCCAGGGCAAGTTACCTAACTGTGCTGATTCCCAGTTTCCTCATCCTGAAAGTGGACGTGGAACTTCTTATCTGTCTCACGGTATAGAGACTCGCTGCTGTGAGATCACTGGGGTCTGGGTGCGGTGATGGGTGCAGGAAGGCTGAACGGCAGGGGAACCCGGAGTCTAGAACCGAGGGCTGAAGGGAGGCAGGCCTGGGTCCAAGCCTGCCGAAGGAGTTGGGACAGAGAGACACGCGCACAGCACCATGGTCCCCAGGGGCTGGGGGAAGGGGCAGAGGAGGGAGGCAGAGGGAACTGGCCGGGCCTTCTAGGGTGCACGACCCTGGGGTTAAGCTGAGACAGGAACCTGTCCCTGGTCGTCTCTTAGGTTAACAAGGGAGCTGCTCATGGCCGCTGGGTGGATGGGGCCTTGACTGCGGAGGGGACTCCCCAGATCAGAGGCAGGGTCCCTGCGGGTGGAACCGGGGGGGGGGGGGCTGAGCCGTGACCTCTGCCTCTTGACCACAGTTCAAAGAGGAGATCTCCAGGAGGTTTAAGGCTCAGCAGGATCAGCTGGTCCTGATCTTCGCAGGCAAGATCCTCAAGGACGGGGACACCCTGAGCCAGCACGGCATCAAGGACGGGCTCACTGTCCACCTGGTCATCAAGACCCCGCAGAAGTAAGTCCAGGGCGCCCACGGGGCGGTCAGTGAAGCGTCTGCCTTCTGCTCTGGTCGTGACCCAGGGTCCTGGGATCAGTCCCAAATCTGGCTGCCTGCTTGGCGGGGAGCCTGCTTCTCCTTTGGCCTCTCCCCCTGCTCCTTCTCTCTCTCTCTCCCAAATAAATGAATAAATAAATAAAATAAAACAAAGGAAGAAGTAAGTCCCCAAGAGGAGCAGATCCCGCTGCGGACTGGGCTTCCCCATCCAGGCCTCACTCTCACCTGTGGCTCCCTGAACCCGGAGGGCCATGCGGACACCCAGGAAGGCGGCTCCCAGAGGGCTTGCCAGGCAGCCCTGGGGTCTCCCCTTCAGGGGAAAGGAAGCTCACCTCCCACTCCCCAACGCCCCAAGGCCCATAGATAGGTGGTACCAGTTCCTCCCTCCTGATCCCCTCCCCTCTGCCCCCAGCACCAACCGCCACCGCCTGAGGGTGGCTTCTGAGACCGCTAATGTTAGGGCAGGAGGTGCACCGAAAGGAACTCCTTGTCTCCCCTTGCCTGTTCACCTCAGCTAGGACTTTGTCCTCAGGGCTCAAGACCCAGCTGCTGGCGCTGTGTCCTCCCCCTCTACTCCGGACCCTGCCTCTGCGCCGTCCACCACGCCTGCCTCGCCCGCCACCCCCGCCCAGCCGTCCACCTCTGGCAGTGCAGCTTCAGACACCAGCAGCGGCAGCCGGAGGAGCAGTGGGGGGGGGGCCCTCCCTGGGGGCTGGGGAGGGACCCCCCAGTGCTGCTGCATCCATACTCTGTAAGCCCTCAGGGAGGAGTGCTCTATCCTGTCCGGGGCTGGGGAGTCAGGGAGAGCCAGGAGGAGGCAGGAATGTGGTCCCTGCTCCCGGGCTGGTGGAGCGAGGGACCCCTGGGCCTGGGGTTCCAGACACTGGGACTTGGGTGGAGCTGGGGCAGAAACTGGCCTCCCGGGGCCTCCTGGGGGAGGGGAGCATGGATGAGCGTTAAGAGGGAGGGCAATGCAGCTAGGGGTGTGGAGCACGGAGGGTGAGGCTGTGGGAGTGGGGGGCAAGGGGGTACAGAAGCAGCTGGTTGGGGGATGTTTGTTGTTCATTCGGCAGGCCCCCGCAGGGCACCCCCTCTCTGCACTGTGCCCAATGCTCAGCCTGTGCCACCAGCGAGGTCTGAGGTCTCCGTCTAGGAGGGCAGTGGAGTAGGGTGGGGGTGGGGGTGCGGGGGTGGGGAGGATGGAAGGACGGGCAAAGGGAGAGGCAAGAAGCGGAGCGGCTGGTCCCGGAGCCCTGAGCATGTGGCCGCCCTGGCTGCCGCCCGGTGGGGGCAGGGTCTCGCGGCCGCTGGTGACCCCGGCCCCTCCCCGCAGCTGGCTTCGGGGGCATCCTGGGCCTGGGCAGCCTGGGCCTGGGCTCTGCCAACTTTATGGAGCTGCAGCAGCAGATGCAGAGACAGCTGATGTCCAACCCCGAGATGCTGTCGCAGATCATGGAGAACCCGCTGGTCCAGGACATGATGTCCAACCCCGACCTCATGCGCCACATGATCATGGCAAACCCGCAGATGCAGCAGCTCATGGAGCGGAACCCCGAGATCAGCCACATGCTCAACAACCCCGAGCTCATGAGGCAGGTACGTGGGAGGCACGGCGGGGGTGGGGCCGCCTCGTCCCGCCTGGGCTCGTGCACACATGCACCATCCCCTGGCACCTGTGTTGTGGACCCCGCAGCCGGAGGCCTCGCTTTCCGGGAACATCCGGTCTCCGAGGTGAGTGGGCCAAGCGGGCTCGTGGTTATCATGCTGAGTGGTGGGTGCCATCGCAGAGGCACCCACAGGAGCTCCCAGGAGCCCAGACGGGGCTCCCAACCCTGCCCTGGGGCTCAGGGGAGGCCTCTGGAGAAGGTGTCCCCAGAGCTGAGACCCAGAGGAGGAGAAAGAGGAGCACGCCCAGGGCTGAGGGACAGCAGGTGCGGGGGCAGGAGGGTGCTCATGGAGCCCCGGGGCTGGGCAGGGCTGGTGGCAGCCAGAGACCCCGCAGATGCAGTGTCACGTTGGTCTTTGGGAGCTGCGGCTCACTGCCCAGCTCAGCGAGGGACACGGACAGATGCTGGCTGCAGGGCTGTGGGCACCGGGGCTGGGTTCACCAGAGAGAAATTCCCTCAGAGCGAGGATTTGAAGGTGTATTCTTCACCATCTAGAGCAGTGCCTGGTGCGCGGAAGTCCCCGGGGAAACACTGAGTGAGGGCGGGAGTCAGAGGACCAGGAGTCAGGGTCCCAGCATGGACATAAAGGTGTCGCAGAGAGGCAGGTGCGGAGTGGGCTTGGGAGTAAGGACAGGAAGGCATCCCCAGTCCTTGGGGATAAGAAGGCACAGTGTGCGGCTACCTGCGTCACGGACTGCTTGTCTCCTGGCCGACACTGACACGGGCAGCCCTTAACTGACACTGAGCCTTGCTGGCTCCAG